CTTTATCCATTCTTCAGTTGAGGTGCATCCAGGTTCTGGCTATTACAAATAATGCTGCTATGAACATAGTTGAACAAATGTCCTTATGGTATGTGTGTGCATCCTTTGGGTATATGCCTAAGGGTAGAATTGATGGGTTTTGAAGTAGATCGATTCCCATTTTCCCGAGAAACCACTATACTGATATTCAAACTGGCTGTACAAGTTTGCATTCCCACCAGCAATGGAGGAATGTTCCCCTTTTTCCACATCCTCTCCAGCATAAGCTGCCATTGGTGTTTTTTATTATTTTTTTTTATTTTAGCCATTCTGATAGGTATAAGAGGTTATCTCAGAGTTGTTTTGATTTGCATTTCCCTGATGGCTAAGGATGTTGAGCAATTCCTTAAATGTCTTTCAGTCAGCCATTTGAGATTCCTCCTTTGAGAATTCTCTATTTAGATCTGTACCCCATTTTAAATTGGGTTATTTGTTGTTTTTGTGACTAGTTTCTTGAGTCAATGTGTATTTTGGAGATCAGCCCTCTGTCAGATGTGGGGTTGACCTTTTTCCATTCTGTAGGCTGCTGTTCTGTCTTGTTGACTGTGTCATTTGCCTTACAGAAGCTTCTCAGTTTCAGAAGGTCCCATTTATTAATTGTTGATCTCAGTGTCTGTGCTACTGGTGTTGTATTTAGGAAGTGGTCTCCTTTGCCAATGCATTCAAGGGTACATCTCACTTCCTTTTTAAGAGGTTCAATGTGGCTGGATTTATGTTGAGGTCTTTGATCCATTTTGACTTAAGTTTTGTGCATGGTGATAGATATGGATCTATCTTCAATCTTCTAGATGTCAGCATCCAGTTATGCCAGAACCATTTGTTGAAGATGTTTTCTTTTTTTCCATTCTATACTTTTAGCTTCTTTGTAAAAATCATGTGGTCACAGGTGTGTGGATTAATATCATGGTCTTCGATTCCATTCCATTGGTCCACCTGTCTATTTTTGGTACACCCATGCTTATTCACAGAGGCACACCTGTGTATATACACACATGCACATGTGTGTATATACAGGTGCCACACATCCACATACAAACATTTTAAAACCATTTAGTGTACCTGAGTCTATTTTTACATTAATTTCCTACCATTTCTGAAATGTGCTGTGAAGCCTATGAACCTCCAAATTTGTTGTCTCCCTGAATTCATCTGACTTTTTTGAAGATTTTATTTATTTGTTATATATACAGTGTTCTGTGTGCATACCAGAAGAGGGCACCAGATCTCATTATAGATGGTTCTGAGCCACCATGTGGATGCTAGTAATTGAACTCAGGACCTCTGGAAGAGCAGCTCAGCCAGTGCTCTTAACCTCTGAGCTATCTCTCCAGCCCCAAATTCATCTGATTTAAATAAGGATATGTTCCTATAAAATACCCTAAACTTTGTATGCATATGTGTGTATAAAATGTTTGCATATATGTACCAAATGATGTACTCCATATGTGCAATGTATACAAGGTACCAGCTTGCTCTTTGCTGTCTCCAGTAGGTAAATGGATGGCAGTTTATTTCCTCACTCCAATTGGCTCTAGGCATGAGGCCAAACCTGAGACACACCCACCTGCTCCATACCCCTCAAAGGCACAGTAATGCCATCTTCTTGCACACAAACTGGATGGGACTCATATGAGAGAAGGGTAGTGGATTTTTAAAGAATTCAAGCAATCTTACTGACCATCCTTTGGTCCCTCATAGGCCTTATTCATTCTTGACTGGGCCCTGTATTAAGATCTCCCACTGCATCTCTGGAGTTCTCTGAGACCTTAAGGAGGAAACCCACTTCCTTTGGAAGGCTTATCAGCTCTCTTTGAAGAGCCACAGAGACCAATTAAAATCTCATAAATCTTGAGCACTTGTGGTCAGTTTTTCTTGGAAGAGGAGGTTGGGAGTGATTCTATACCAAGTCAAACAGACAGCCACCCCCAGGCTTTTAGAGCCCACCCCAGTGGCATCTCTTATCAGTGTGCTCCTTCAAATGAAGGCTTCAGGGAAAGAGAGGAGAGAAGCACAGGCATTTCATGTATCTCTTTTTCCATGAAAAGAGTTATTTCGGAACTTGACCCCATTTAAATATTCCAGTCAGTTCTTTTGCACTACAAACCATGCACCAACTGGAACATCTTTTTTTTTTTTTTTTTTTTTTTTTTTTTTTTTTTTTTTCTCTGCAGAAACTCGTGACTTGGTCCTCTGGCCATGTGCCAGCCACAGGAACCACAGGTCCAGCTTCACTACTATTTTAAAATTAATGTATTTTTATTCTTCAAAACATATGCTTCTGAGCCTTTATGACACTAGTATTTGAGTCAATATATCACCAAGTGAATATTAAATTATAGTACTATAAACCCTGGGGAAATTTTATTAATGTTTGCAATGTATTCTCATGTGACACCAACATGTTTTTTAGATATTCATAAATCTAGACTTTAAAAATCTTCAGTTCTAAGGTGCTATGAATGTTGTAATGGGCAGAGAATCCATAATTGTGGAACAGTGCTCTTGAATTTTCATATACTCCTGATAACCATCAGCTCTTTCATATGCTAATTATAGTTGTATTAAAAACACACAAGTAATATTTTTTGCAGCTTGATTGCTTTGGGCCAAAGGAATTATTTCCAGAATAAGCTGGCAGGTTCCTGCTTGGGGAATTAGGACTCTCATGTCCTTAACTTTAAAATAACTTGCATTTCATTTTATGCTTGCTTCATAATGTAGTCATTCATTTTCCGACTAAATTGCAACCAAAAGCAGGCCACATCAATAGACGCCACCGGCCCATGGGCTGAGTGTGTTAGGAAGGCGGACGTGAAACAGAATGCTAAAAATGGTGACTGGATACTGATTTATAAAGCAAACTGAGCACTAATGCCCTGGTATCATTATATCTACATCCTGGTCCACAGTAAGTTCACCACAGAATTTGTGGATGAAGGAGAAAGTCCAACACAGTGATTTATGTTTTGAGAATTCTTGGAATGAAATTCGTGTTTTCTGTTGTCATGTTGAAGCCGTTGAAGTGGGATTTGTGGGAGGGATGCACTTGGTTTTTAGGTTTAGAGTTTTGGGTTCAATGTTCACACAAGTGACTCCTGGATATGATGGGCGACAGCTGGGTGTGGACCTTGGCTTTGCAGCTTATGGAGCTGACTTGAGACACAGCCATGAGACAACTTGGCTCTTTTCTTCTCTTTTAGTTTAATTTCTATTTGAAAAAAAAATTTTTTTTTAAGTAGGTAAAATTAAATAATTATTAAAATCATGTGAAAAATATAAAAAACTTTTTTAAGTAGGTAAAATTAAATAATTATTAAAATCATGTGAAAAATATTTCTGAAATTTTAAATCATTTTTAAAGAAATTTCTGTTCCTTGTGTGCTCCAAGAGTTTTTATTTCTCAGTATTTCTATTAATCCAGATTTTCTATTGGTCCATTTCCCTTTAATTTGTCTTTCTCCTTGAAATTAAGAAAATTGATTGAGTAAAATAAAAATAAACTATAGTAAAAATGTTTTTGAACATGAATAACCAATGAAAAATATCAGGGGCTATCAGTCCATGTAAATAATACATTCTAAGTGGACTAAAGCATTTTAGGGTTAAAAGTTGACAGGACCCAGAAAGCATTTGCATGTCACTTCCCTGATCTAGCAGTTACCTCCCTAAGGTTAACAGAGTAATTGAAATCTCCCTTCCACTCTGTTGTTTGTTTTCCCCTGTCATCCACATGAAAAGGAAAGTGATGCAAGTCTGGCACATGAATGGCCTTCTACACCAGGCATCTGTGGTTCCCCAGAAGAATGTAGTCTCCCAGCCCAGCATGGTTTTTCTGCCAGTTTCCCATCTTGGTGCTTCTTGAATCTTTAAAATGTGGTGTCCTCTCATGAAGACTGTAGCAAACCTCAATAGTAGACTCATGACAAGTGAAACGATGAGGATATAGTCACAGAATATGAAGATTTAGCCAACCCATGACCATAATGTGAGAAAACATTCTAAACCACAAGTTCAGAAGGAGCAACTAATGAGTTCATAGTCTGTCTTCAGAGTCAAGCATTTAGAAGCATTAGGGGTCATGCTTTGGGAGGCAGCCATAACTCTGTTATTTTACTCCAAAATGTGGTTTTCCCAAAGCCTTCGAAATACAGCTAAGGATGTTACCTCCCAGGGAGGGGTACATGCCATAAGGGAACAGAAAGTTTAAGGCTAGCTGGACATGGTGATGTATGACTATAATCCCAGAACCTGGGAGACAGAGACAGGAAGATCATCAAAGGTTAACAGCCAACCAGGGCTATATAGCCCTGCCCACAAATAAATAAATAAATAAATAAATAAATAAATAAATAAAGTGAAGGTGGCATGAAGTGTAAATGTAGAAGTGTGAGTTTAAAGATGGCAAAGGAAAAAGAAGAGATAATCAATAATAAAAGAGCATCCCCAGGATCTGGGCATGGTGGCACAAGCCCTAATTCCAATACTTGGTGAGTTAGAGGATGGACTGGGCCACATAGCCAGTTCTAGGCCACCCTGGGGCTAAATGGCAAGACCCTGTCTCAAAAAATGCAACAAACACACACAAGAAGTGTATCAGATCCAATAATAATCATTACAGAAGAAATAATGTAAAGAACACAACACACCACACACACACACACACACACACCACACACACACACACACACACACACAATGATTTCTGAGATTAGGTAGATCCTAGGGTAAGGTAAAAGCCAGTTGCTCATTATGTCATTCACTAAAGAATTCACACTCTATTCACACCTCCTTGAGATGTCTTTTGGTTCCCTGATCTTAGAAGTTTGCTTCTTCAGAGTTTAAACTTAGAATCCTTGCAGTAGTACACACTACTAAAATTTTATAGGAAGCTGGTACCTTGTCTTTGCATCATTTTAATGCATGCCACCTCTATAAAAGCCATTGTTTCCTTCCTCCTTTAGAAACTGCGAAGGACAGAACATCAGATACAAGACATGCAGCAATCATGTAAGTCTAAGAATATTTAATCCAATTAAACCCTGTTTTAGAGATAGTATCTAAAATGTGCTATGGGACTGATAGTGTCTTGAGAACCTTTCTGCTAATTTTAAATACTTGTTTGGTTGATGACAGCCTTTGTTTATAAGTATCTTTGTAGGGGAAGCTGTAGCCAGCCCCTAAGAAGGAGTGGCTACAGCTTCCCCTACAATCAATTCACAGTGCTCTTTCTAGGCCATTTCACATTTATTATAGAAGTTGGTAAGTATGCAATTGTGCCTGTATTCATAGAAGTGATATACACAATAGCTTCAAGGTCCTTTAAGGCTCCAAGTACTTTTGTGTCAGTATGTTACAAGATTCTCTCGAAGCTGCCTCAGAGCCCCCAAATAAACAAAAATGACTTATATTAATTATGAATCTGTTGACCGTTGGCTATGGTTTCTTATCGGCTAGCTCTGACTAAATTATTTACCCATTTCTAATAATCTACATATTTCCATGTGGTCTTGGCTTACCAGACCAGCAACTCCTTTGCCTACTACATCATGACTGCTCAACATCTCTGCAGAGAAGAGACTGATTTCCTGTTTGTCCCTGTTTATATTCTGATTCTTCCCAGCTATGTCACTTCCTGTCTATCTGTACAGTCTCCAGACCTCTATGGTTAGCTAGTGTCAGTTTCTGCCCAGCTATGTCAATTCCTGGGATCTCATGATGACTCCTCTCTGCCTACACTTCTCAGAATACTTCTTGTCTCCTAGTCCTACCTATCATCCTGCCTAGCAAATCAGTGTTTTATTCATCAACCAATAAGACAAACGTATATACAGAAGAGCATTCCCCATCATCAGTATCTCACTCAGCCTCTTCCGAAATGTCAGGAGACACTCAGAGAGATGAAGAGGGACTGACGCTGAAGGATGGACACACAGACACATGAAGAGGGACTGGGGCTGAGGGATGGACACACAGACAACGAAGAGGGACTAGGGCTGAGGGATGGACACACAGCACATGGAGAGGGACTGAGGCCGACGGATGGACACACAGACACATGAAGAAGGACTAAGGCTGAGGGATGGACACACAGACATATGGAGAGGGACTGGGGCTGAGGGATGGTCTCACAGACACATGGAGAGAGACTAAGGCTGAGGGATGGACACACAGACATGAAGAGGGACTAGGGCTGAGGGATGGACACACAGCACATGGAGAGAGACTGAGGCCGAGGGATGGACACACAGACACATGAAGAAGGACTAAGGCTGAGGGATGGACACACAGACATATGGAGAGGGACTGGGGCTGAGGGATGGTCTCACAGACACATGGAGAGAGACTAAGGCTGAGGGATGGACACACAGACATATGGAGAGGGACTGGGGCTGAGGGATGGTCTCACAGACACATGGAGAGAGACTAAGGCTGAGGGATGGACACACAGACACATGGAGAGGGACTGAGGCTGAGGGATGGACACACAGACACATGGAGAGGGACTGAGGCTGAGGGATGGACACACAGACACATGGAGAGAGACTAAGGCTGAGGGATGGACACACAGACATATGGAGAGGGACTGGGGCTGAGGGATGGTCTCACAGACACATGGAGAGAGACTAAGGCTGAGGGATGGACACACAGACACATGGAGAGAGACTGAGGCTGAGGGGGTAAACTTATTTTTGAGAGCTTCAAAGGAAGATTCCAAATGTGAATTGCTGCAACGAGGCTAGGTGACTCAGAAGGAAGGATTTATACAAGCCTTACTGTTTGTTACACTAGTCAACACCAACAAGAATTAGAATATTTTGCTTTGCAATTATAAAAAGAAAAATAGAAGCTGGGGTGGTAGTTCAGTTGATAGAGTTTACCTTGCAAGCATGAGGACCTGAGTTTGAGCCCCAGAACACATGTAAAAATTCCAGGCATGGGGGTGGGCTTGCAATCCCAGCACTGGGGAGGCAGAGAGAGGAGGAGCCTGGGACTCACTGGCCAGCCATCTTAGCCTAATTGGTGAACTCCAAGGTAATGAGGGACCCTGTCTCAAAGGAGGTGAGTCGCATTCTTGAGGACAACAGTCAAGGTTGTCCTCTGGCCACCATTCCCACGTGCATACACATGCATGTGCACTTGTTCTTTGGTGTGCACATGAGCTTGGTGCACACATCAAGCATGAGAAATTAATAAAAGCAACCATTCTTTTTCATTCCAAACATTTCCCTCTTTAGCACAATATACTCAAATTGAAACAACAGAGCTTGAGATGAAGTACAGGGGCTCTGGGGAACTCTTATTAGAGAGATGCAGGTGTTCTCTTAGAAAGAAGTTTAGCAGTGTCTTCAGCTTTGTTAGGAAATGAAGTGATGCTTGAGACAGCTGGAACAAAAAGCAGAGTAGCTTGCAATACCATGAGCCCATTGCTATAGGACAAGCCCTGGGTGAGCAGCACAGACCTGAGTATTCAATGAACCAAGGTCAGGCAAAGAGGGAAGGAAGGAAATGTATAATAAGCAACTGAAGCCAAGTCAGAGATATGAAGTCCTGTGCCCATCTTTATTCTGCTCCTTGTTCAGGTGGGTTCTTCATCATCCTCTGTGACTCTGCTTGAGGAAGGTATCCCCCAGATGTGCTTCAGAAGTCTTCCCACCGTGGAAAAGCTTACCAAGCATCACTGGCTAAGGAAACACAGATGGTCTTTTGTTCAGAAGTGCAGGGCAATAGGAAATGCATTCAGAACCCACAGATGAAGAATTCCCTCCTCTTGTGTGCAGGGTCCCAGTCATGCTTCAGGTGGCAGGAGAGGAAGACTCCGGTAGTAGGACTTTCCTTTGGGTCACTAGCTCACAAATAATGACAAGGAGACTTATTAATTTTGAAAGCTTGGCCTTAGTTTAGGGCTTTTTCTTAACTAGCTCTTATAACTCAAATTAACCTGCTTCTTTAATCTATGTTCTGCCGTGTGGCCCAGTTACCTCTGCTCTATGCTATATGTCCAACTTCTTCTGTGTCTCCTGGTGTCTCTGCCTCTTTTCTTCCCAGAGTTCCCCTCCTCCTCAGAAGTACTGCCTAACCCCTTCCTCCCTAGCTATTGACTTTTCAGCACTTTATTAAACCAATCAGAAGGCACCATGGCAGAAGCATACCTTCACAGTGTAAACAGCAGACTCCACAGTGTTCTCTCCAAGAGATGAGGTTATGGCTTTGGGAGCTCCTGGGTTCCCTCTCAAAAGAGATGAGGCTTTGTGCTGAAAGATTAGGGAGCAGAACATGTCTGGTGACTCCTAAGTGACTTCAGCCTTCAGATACAAACTTTCATTGGTGTTCAGCATAGATCCTTACAGCCAGGCCTGGACTCCAGGCCTTGGGAGACAATTATCAGGAGTCTATCAGAGCAAATGTGAGTTTTCAGAAGATGCCGTGTAGGTCAGCCAGGAGCCTTAATACCTGAATTCATTGACTCTCTGTGTTTTCTTCGTCCCGGGTTTATGAGATTAAAGGCAACGCTAGAAGAAGCAAAGGGAAATGTGCAGTGTATCACAACTTGGCAGGAACATTTTTACAACATGGGCAAATTTTTAATGAGCAAGTTAGCCCTGCACAGTGGGCTTTCTGATGGCTTCCAGAAAAGGTGACATTTGACATGGCCTTTGCAGGATCCTTCTTTCACTCCACAGAGCCCACGACGGCTAATTTCTACCGGTCTTTCATTAGCTGTTTCTCTTGGAGGTGTTCTTTTTCTTTCCATTGCTGTTGCTTCTGCTCTGTATTAGAGCCATGTCCTGGGGCTGGATGGCCCAGTGGTTGAGATTACTTGCTGCTCTTTCAGAAGACTGGAGTTTGGTTCTCAGAACATATATTGAGAAGCTCACAATTTTCTATAACTCTAAGATCCAGGGGCTGCAACAGCCCCCTCTGACCTCTGTAAACACACACATGCACATACCCCTAAATAAATACTAATCTTTTAAGTAGGAACTGTGCCCGCTCTTATCTGTCTTCAACTATGAGACTAAACTAGGCTATTTTAATACACAAAAATCCCTACAGTGTCTTGAGCTGAGCTTAGCCAAGCCAGGCTGGGCAGGCTTAGTGTTGATGCTATATGAATATAAAGTAAAGGAAAGCAATTAACTAAGTCGCCTATGTCCCCTTCATTTCTTAGAAAGTGGTGTCCATGAAATAGTTCAGTCACCATTAGAAAACTTGAATGCCCAGAGTGCTTCTAATTTCCTTCCTCTGAGATGCATGTCTTCTGAACATACTTCAACACATGTCTACTAAACATACTTTATGAACTTTGCCCTGGGTCATATGCTTAGAGAACCCAAAGGAATACAATGAAATACTGTGCCTCAGTAGAAATATGTGCTATTTAATGTTATTTAAACAGAAGCAGGTCTTGAGAGCCTGAATCCCAAAAGTGAGGAACACAGGCTACTTTCTCCTTCTACTGAAATGCACAGCTTTCCATCTTTCCTTCTCCCTCCATATTTCATCCTTTTTCATTTATAATGGGAACTGCCTGGATTTGTTGGGCACATATGTCATAAAAGAAAGGGCCAGCCAGGCCCCAGATTCATGCGACTTCTCATCTCTGCCCCTCCTTTTTGTGTAATTTCAAATTCCTGGGCAAGTTCCACCTGATGTAGACCACATGTGCCTCTGGATAGTCAAGGATGACAAACTCGGCCACCCTCTGGCAAGGACTAAGTTTAGGCAGACATCCTAAACTTATGTTAACTAGCACTCACTACTTTTTTTAAAAAACTTTATTGGCTGATAGCAGTCAACCAGCTAGACCATTCAGCCCCTAAAGAGCACTTGCCACATCCATGAGCCCATTGCAAGGGGAGGTGTCTGTTCTAAGCTTTCATATACACTTTCCTTTAGTTTCAAAGAATTTGAAGGAAACACTGACCATGGCTTGTGGGAAAGAAGATGATGTCACTTTGTCATTCATCTTTCTTATGGTCACTTGGAAGACAGAGTCCCCATTTCTAAAGAGAAAAGTTATTGACTTCAGTCTACTTTGGTTTGATTTGCATCATTTGTCATGACCTGAGATAAGAGTTTATCTAGCTAAAGCAACAAAAACAAATATACTGTGGGAATTTGGAAAGTTTTACACCAATACAGTACAAATGAGCCCCATAGGGACGTTTGCATGCTCTCCTCATTCCCTATTTCCGAAGGATTTGAGGACATTTACAAAGACCAAAAGCACACACAAGTTGTTGCATAACATATTGTGGGGGAATGCAAGGTGAACAACTGTCCCTACACTGGGATGGCATCAACAGTCAAAAGTACGATTCATTCAAGTTCAGCTTTATAGGTTAAGTGAATTTATTAGGGGGTTACTTATGGATGATGATAGACAGTTCCATTTTCCAAGAAGTCCATGCACACACCTCATTTTATGCAGCTCTAAGTTTATAGTGGAATTGATGATACAGATCTGGCTTCAGAGTGATACCTCATGAGGCAGGTATTTGACTGCAGACCCACAGACCAAGCTAGACTCTAGAAAATTTATGGTGATATGTACTCCTATCAAAGATTGCAATGGTTTAGGCAAACACAATCCAATTCCAGTAAGGCTGGATTGTTTTTTTTTTTTCTGTTTGGAATGTAGAATAGATAATGGTAGATTGCTGAAAGATAGAATCACTCTATTTAGAATTAGGAGGACTAGTCTCATTGTAACAGTAAAACCCATGTTTGATATGGGAAAATGTGAGATGTGAGTGAAATAAACTGTATTTCAGAAGCATGTTGAAACATAGTCATTATTTTTTTTTTGGAAAAAATAGGGTGAGATTTTTTACCTCACAGTATTCATCTGAATAATTCTACCTATAACAAAAAGCATGTCTGAGGCAAAGCAAAGAGGATCAACTCCAAGTTCAAAGTGTAAGTGTAGCTAGTCTGGGTTACAGAGACCCTATCTCAAAAATAAAATGGAAAAAAACCAAAGCAGCAATGACACATGAAACCCCAAACCCAAACTCAAAAGAGTTAAATGCCATTGCCAACCTATAAAGGAACTAGACAAATACATTTAATATTTATTTGTCCTCAGGGCAGGGTAAGAAAAGAATTTGTAGCCCATTAAAAAGGAAGAAATCTTGAAGAAATGTTAGCAGAGCAGGCTGCATAAACATTCAAGTCTTCTCGACTTCACAGGGCGCCCATAGCAAAATTAAATAGTGAAAAGATTTCTACAACTGACCAAATTTGATGCCTTCACTACAAAAGTAGTAGCATTATTTGCTAAAAATAATACAAAGGTAGAACAGAGGCCATAAAACAAGAAATTTTCAAAGATTTGATCTAAAAAAGCAAATTACAAGACTACCTATGAAGCCTAAATAATACAAAGGAAATATAATTTAAAGCAATGAAATTCCATTATACATGTCTGATTAGAAAATTATAATATCCAAATGGGGAAGAAGGATCCAGAAAGACAACCTGTGTAGGTCATCGAGATGGTGATAGCTTTCTGGTGGACCATTTCATGTTGTCTATAAAATATGGGTACAACTGGACTCAGAAAATTATATTTCCAGGAACAAACCCTCAGGAAATAATCAAGATTTGTATAAATATTTAAGTATAGGAATCTTTGTAGCTTATTCATTTTAATGGAAACTTCCCTCCAAAGTTCTTAGGATGAACATTAACTATCTTCATAACAAGGAGAGTATAAAATAAATACAAAGAGTTTCTGTGAGTGCACATTTGTCTCATCCAGCATCTTGCCTTGGAACTATCTAGAAGTAAGAATGCATATTTAATAGCAGGGCCTCCCCCAAGCCATCAACACTTGTACTTTTTACTGTTAAGTTGAGGGTGCTCTAGGGTGTTGTGTTTTATTTGTTTTTGTCACAGACAGAGTTTTGCACTAGCTTGTGGAAGACAGATGTTTGGTACCAATGAAGAGCAATGGGAGATGAGAGAGAAAGCAGATGCACTAAATGGCAGCAATACAGCCAGCAATCCTCACAAAACACAGAAGTTTGGGCAAGACTACACTCCTTCTTGGGGATTTATAGGCAGTTAACAGTTGCTAGGGGTAGGTGTGGGGATGTCTGGGGGAACACAAAATAAGACATAAAAGTAGAGTGGCGGCTGATTGGGCAAGGGAAGGGGTCAGTAGGAAAAGGACAAGGGAAGGTCATGGTGGTAAATAGAATCAAAATGTATCATTTACATGTATGAAAATATCTTAATAAACCCATTATTGCATATAATTAAAATACTTTAATAAAAAAGCATATAACAGTTTGGGGCTAAAATGGGAGCAAATGGTTCCACGGAAATGGTTCCTGAAGGGCAGGACTAATACTGTTCCTATAAAGACTTTGAATCACCTTGGAAATGCAAAGGCCCTTGGTTCCCCTTGATGCAAAAAAGGATATTGCAATTCATTTGGAAGTTTATCCACGAGATGGCAAAACCAGGGTAAAATTAGCACCTACACATCATATGCCTTAATTATCTGGGAGAACACCTGGATGGGAGAGTGATAGGATTAATAAAATGATCCCGAGTAGGTCAGCATTGCAGAGACTCCGGAGGAATTCAACAATGTAGAGATATAGTTTCAGTTTGTAATCTCAGGGTGTTGTGGGGGCTGGGATAAGGCGCTAAGGTGAGTCTCAGTGGAGGCAGATGGGGTCTGGTTAAGCCTTCCCTTGACCCTGTGGCTGGTTAAAGTGCATGTTCCCAGGGTTCCTTCTGTTTACCTGCAGGACTGCCCAGCAGATTCGGAAGACTTCAGAGCCCAGCAGTGCTCAGCCTACAATGATGTGCAGTACCAGGGCCATTATTATGAATGGATTCCACTATACAATGACCCTGCTGCCCCATGTGCACTCAAGTGTCATGCTCAGGGACAGAGTTTGGTAGTGGAGCTGGCCCCGAAAGTGTTGGATGGAACTCGTTGCAATGCTGACTCACTGGATATGTGCATAAGTGGCATCTGCCAGGTAAGCCACACCTGCCACATGTTTCCTTGATTTGGGGCTGTGCCATGTCCATTCTCAGTAATGAGATTTTGACATTTCAGTGTAAGTGTATTCCCCAGTAGAGAATGTGAGGGCTTGAGGGAAATGATAGACTTCTCCCTCTGTTCTGGTCGCTGAGAAAGGTTTTCAAAACCCTGGATATCTGGCATTCTAATTGTGTTTGCCTTGTTGAATGTAGTATGGCTTTTGTCTGTGCAGAAGCAAAATATAGGACTCCTTACTATTCTCTGGGATCAGGAACTCTCCAACCAGGACATGCAAACAGACCTCCCTTGATGGGGAAGGACTTCTGTGTATGTTTATCTTATTGATTGTTAAATAAAGTTTTGTTTGGCCAATGAAACAACAAGTTAGACAGAACTAGGAGTCAAAGAGGATTCTGGGAAATGTAGTAGAGAAGTGGTGATCCAGGCCGGAAGTGACATAGCGAGGAGACTCATATTTGAGCGAGGAGAAACAGGTGTCCCTCTTTCCCATTCGCCTCCTCCAGCAGCCAGATGTGAGCCACCAGCAAGAAGGGATGCCAATAAGGCATCTGATAAGATAAGTCTTATAAAATATATAGATTTATATAATTAAGACTGAGCTAACAGATGAGGAATCCTCGTCATTGGCAAAGCAGCATTGAACCTAATACAAATTTCTGTGTATTCATTTGGGCCCTAACTCAGGGTGATGGCTGGTGTAAAGCGCACACGTGGTGGTGGTGGTGCTCGGTGGCTTTTGGTGGAAAGATTTATCGTAACACCCCATGAAGGGTTTGAGGTGGTTTAATGGCTACTCTCTCAAACTCCTTTGCATTTTCCTGAGTTCTCAGAGCCCCTGAAGCTTTGCTGCAGGATCTAGGGCCACACTCTGAGAAGACTGCTTTGGGAGGGCAGAGCTGATCTCTGGGATCAAGGTCAGCCCAGCAGATGGGTCAGGTGACTTTGGAGAGCTGAGATGGGTGTGACTAAGACATCATCTCCAGTGGATTGCAATGAGTACGAATTTAGACAGGTTCCAGAGACAGCATGGGGACTACAGCGACACCATAAAATCCCTTCCCCTTCCTTTGATATCTGAAGGATGTTTTGTGTGTGTGTTTGTGAGTGTGTGTGTGAGCACATGTGCACGTATAGATGTACTAGTTCACGTGAGAATTGGTAGAGGCTTAGAGGTTGATATCAGGCATCTTCCTCACTTTTTCTTCACATTTTTGAGACAGAGTGTCTCGGTGAACCTTGAGTTTGGCTGAACAGAGAGCCCTAGTGATTAGCCTATCTCCACTTGTCCCTACCATGGCCAGGTCTGGTATAATCAGCATGTGTCACAACATCCTAGGGTTCTGAACACATGTTTATACAGTAAACACTTTACCAAGTGAGCCATCTCCCAAGCCCCTGAAGAATGCTTTTTTTTTTATATAAAAAAGGAAAATAATAGTGGCAATACATGAAAGTATGAGGAAGGCTTGGAAGTGGAGGAGAGGGAGCAGTGGGGAGGGGAAGGATTTGGTAATAGGGGATTGAAGATGATCAAAGTGTGTGTGTGTGTGTGTGTGTGTGTGTGTGTGTGTGGGAGAGAGAGAGAGAGAGAGAGAGAGAGAGAGGGAGAAAACCCATTAATTTATGCATTTAACAAATGCTAATAAAAACAACAAATTTCTAGTATTCTATCTCTTCTAGAAGGCTCAGGGCAATAACAGTAACTAGAGCAATCAGCCCAGCTCTTGTGAGAGAAAACATGATATTTCTTCTTCTTCCCCCACTGCCTTTCATCTCTCTCCTCCCTCTTTCCTTTGTCACCATTCTTTTTCCCAAGTACTTTTCTCTTCTACTTCCAGGTCCCTCCCTCCCTCCCTCCCTCCCTCCCTCCCTCCCTCTCCTTCTCTTCTTTATCAATGCCATCCTTGTGCTTGCTGCCTTCAATGGGCTATCAGAGAATCCAGAATTCCTGCCAAGTTCCCAGGACCTTCCTACACAATTTTCTGCTACCTGACTCCTCAGGTCTGTTTTTAAAATAAATTTTAAGGAGGTACCTAGAAAACTTTAGTGTAAGACAGATATTTTCCACACCCCTTCTTGCTCCCATATATCCCATTCCCCTACTCCCCAAATTTCCCATCCAAACTATACAGATGTTACAACTAATGCACCTAGGTACATTGAGACAACATATTGTTGCTCACATTGGAATTTATTGTCACCATTCCCTCCACTTGTTTTTATTTCTGTTTTAGGCATAGTCTTGCCATATATCATACACTGTTTTCAAAATAACTGTGTAGCTCAGGGTAGCATAAAGCCTATGGTAGTATCTCAGCCTCTTCAGTACTAGGAAATCCAGGTATATATCTATATATATATAATATTCACTCACAAGTGTCATCCAGAGTCATTCTACCAACATAAAATTCTCCATGCTTTGTCTTTTCATTCCTCTGTCCGCCTAACTCCTGGTAACCACTGGAAATTTTCAAAATATTAAGGACAACACATGTCTAAATAACACATAAGCATAAATCTCACAACAAAGGAAAATTATTTTGAATTCAGTGAACATGGAAATTCAACTTGATAAAGTATGCGTAATACAATGAAAGCCATGCCCAAAGGGAAATTTACAAACCTGAAGAAGCCTCCAAGATGAAGCATCTATGCCTTAGAAAACTAGAAATGTGGCACAATTGAATCCAAGTCAAGCAGGAAAAAGTAACTAATAAAAGCAAAAGAAAAAATCCCAATGAAAAAGAATTGGAAATGAAGAAATAATGGTGCCGAAAGTTAGATTTTTTAGAAATATCGATAGCACTGATATTTTATAGCTGTAAGACAGACTAAGAAAATAAGGAGACAGAAACAAAATGGTGTCAGAAGTCAGAGTGGAGCCATCACTCAGATCAGACCCAGTGGATAGTAAAAGGACAGCGAGTGAGTAGCAGCCACCCTGTGCCCACAGATGGATAGATGAAATGACTCACTCCCAGAAAGGCAAGATCTGCCAAACTTCATAACGTTGAAAATATACAATCAGAATATGCTTTTATAAATTAAAGAATTCAAATCAATGATCACAAACTTTCCAAAGTCTGCCTTAGGGATCTTCTTCTTCCTCTTCTTCTTCCTCTGTCTCATCTTCTTTGTTTCCTTTTTAATAACTTTTATTTTTTGACATTATGTGATTATACCATTCCCCCTTCCTCTCTTTAAACCTTCCTATATACCACTCCTTGCTCTCTTTCAAATTTATGGCCTCTTTTGTCATTAATTGCTGCCTCTCTCACGCACATAAATATATACACATACATACACACAACCTTATCAGTCTGTATAATGTTATTCATATGGATGTTTTCATGGTTGATTGTCTGGTACTGGATAACCAGTTGGTGTACTCCTCCCTGGAGAAGACTATTTCTCCTGCTCTAGCACCCCTTAGTTGCCTGTAGCTCTTTGTGTATGGTTGAGGCTTCATGGACTTTCCCTGTCCATGCTAGCACCTCTATTGTTATTGTCCCTGTTCAGCTTGTGTTCAGGTAGTCATTCTGGTGAGACTTCATGGTGTAGTTTCTAACATTGCTAAGACACACAATCTCACAGAAGGTGTCCTGTTTTATAGCAATTCTTTATTATTTCTTTCAGAAAACAGAAACAGAGGGAGATCTTCTAAACTTGTTCTTCCATGAGCTCACATACAAGTATCTCAACAAATATTAGTGAATCAAACCCAACAGTGTTTAGAAACACAACCAAGTGACATTTATTCTGGATATGCAAGGCTCATTCAACATTCAAAAAATCAATTAATATAATTGATTATATCCACACGCTAAAGAAGACCCATCTGTAATTATAGGAACAAATGCAGAAAAAGAATTTAACAAAAATCCAACACATGTTTAAAGGAACCTTCAGAAAACTTCAAGGAGCATTTCCACCACTTGATAATGTATAGTGTGTGTGTGTGTGTGTGTGTGTGTGTGTGTGTGTGTGCTCGCTCGTGCGTGTGCATGCGTGCGTGCATGCGCATATACATTATATGTTTTCAAGACTGTGTAGCCCTGACTGTGTAGTCCTTCATTCACTATGTAGAACAGGCTGGCCTTAAAGTCACAGAGATCCATCTGCTTCTGCCTCCTAGATGCTTGGATTAAAGGTGTGTACCACCACAATTGACTTAATGTCATTCTTAACAGTAAGAAATTAGACAGTTTCTTGCTAAGATCAGGAAAAAGGCAAAGATGTCAGCCAATCCCTGCCACTGCTTTTCAACATACTGGGAATAAAAGACAAGATAAAGTATGCTGTCTGAGATAAACCAAAGTTATCTTTGTTTATACATGATTTGATTGTATATGTTGATTAAAAATTAAAACCTCCTGGAATTAATAACTGCTTACAAGTAATGAAGTATATATAAACAGGTTTTCTATACAAAAGTCAGTGACTTCAATGATATACAGCTAAAGAATGGACTTTGACATTGAAAAATACAGTTCCACTTACATTAGTACCCCACAAAGTATATACAATGACATTGCAGGAGCTGAGCAAAGTTGGGGGACTGACATTATATAGCCTCAAGTCTCAATATAAATTGACAGCATTCAAAGCCATAAGATAGCAGCACCAGAGGAGACAAATGGGCCAGTGGACATAGTAGAAAGCCTAGGAATAAGTCCACAGCAAGCCAAGTGATCTCTGAGAAGGGAGCAATGGAGAGAAGGTAGTCAACAGATTGTGCTAGGAGAACTGGATATTTACATACAAGAATCCTTAACAGAGATTGGCATCCCTCACAAAACATAACTCAAGTGCATTATAAATGCAAACATAAAATGAAGTCTTCTTGAAGTTGACACTGCAGTAGCCTAGCTGCCTGCCAATCTCTCTTTGTCCATTGTCTGCTCTGCTCCATCTTATCTAATGCTTTCTGTTGACAAATCTTCCTATAGTCAAGGCTTACTGTTCTATTCTTCG